CGAATTTCAACCCGGCACACAATAGAGAGCTACATTGTCTAGCTTCCTCTGACAGCTCTGCAGAGAGAGAAAATAGCTTGGCTTAGCTTTCCAAGAAAATGCCAACACACAGTGAGATGGACCAATATGTTGTCCAAATAAATAAAATGTCAACCGCATAACAAACCAAGAAGCATCTGTTGCCATTACTTTGACACTTTTCATTTCCGCAAATTAAGCCCTGTGATAGGACGGGGTATGAATAACAGTCAGTCAGCCTCTGCTGGAAACACAGCTTTCCAGTATGCAACAAAAATTTTAATATTAATCTCAAATGATGAATAATAACCCCGATTAGAAATGATTATTTGTTCCACTTAATGCCTTCAGTGTGTATGATATTTTATATTTAAATGATAAAAGAACAAGAATTTCCTTAAATCTTCATGGACAAACGTCTGTCCACACTTGGATTAAACCGATTCCAAACAATAGGGAATAAATAATATGATGTTTTCTGTTTCTAAAACTTAAATACTTTAAGACATTATGTGGGTCATGATTTTCCTTGCTTGCGAGCGGTAAAAAAAACAAGCAGAACTCCAACATCAGCTGGATATGAGTCATCGGTCTGCTAGTCTAAACCTTTGCAATAACACATAAGAATGGATGCTTTCTGTTGCATCCGCCGCACCTCGCTGTTCTGATTCTTTCACTGCTTTTCTGAACACTCGAGGTGAGCACAGCGAATAATCTGTCAGTGTCGTTAAACTGTTTTATGTGTGCGGCTCCGGAGCAGTAAATCCTACAGCTTGAATCTGTCATGTGTCAGAAAGTGTTGTCATTAGCAGATAAATCTTCTGCATTGCCTATTTTTTCTTTTTAAAGTGAAACACAAGGCAGAACATTTGCAAACTAGGAGGGAATACTGACATATAGTGCAGGTGTGCACAATTAAAGACTCTTCTAATTTTGAATGACTGGTTTTTACACAGACGAGTGTTAAATGTTCAGATTAGAGGGGATATGTGACATTAGAGGGACATTAATAACAAGAAATATGGCAGGAAAATTGCAGTTCTCTAACAAATTGTTTCAAGAAAAATGCAGAAATTGGTCTTTCTTAAAAAACTTAATACATCAAAGTCTGGTTTTGAATCAAAGATTAAAGTTTGGTTTATCTAGAAGACTCATCCAGCTGAAAAGAGCCAATAAATGTAGAAAAAATTAAGTGAAATATGCTACATTTCACAACTGCAAGACTACTTTGTGTATAAATATTTATATTTTGGACAAAATTCTAGGATCATGACTGGAAGCTGGAGAACAGACATATAAGAACAGCAAGTGTGTGTTCTTTTAGGGTTTTAGTTGGTAAATATGAAGTTGGATATTTCAGTAAAACTGAAAATCCTGAGATTATCTTATGTTTCCAAAGCCTGTGGTCCCAGTTAACAGCACACAGAAGTTAAAAACCTAAAAGGAAAAGAAGATGTGTAGCCTTACGGCCTGAAAATGCCCTTGACTGGCAGTCTTACTAAAGGCTGGCAGGGGACTTATTGATTTATCACCTGATTTATAACCTCTGAGCATTTTTCATGTTCAGCCTTGAGCAATATGATCAAAAACATTATTAATGCCATCTGTATTTTTCTACTTTAAAAGTATCCACAATTTTATATATTTATCATTCACCTGCCTTTTGAGCTGCTTTATGGTCCCCGTAGAGAGAAGTAGCCATGTTCTGTCATCACCACTGAAGAGGAGGACACGTCTCCAACTGTAGGACTCACCTTAAACCAAAGGTGAAAGCCACAAATTTCAGCTTCTTTGTCTTCTGTTGTCTCAGTTCATCTCTTTATTATGGTAAAAGTCTTGTGGTACCACTTTAAATTGTGTCTTTTGGCAATAGCCACCAACTCTGAACATTCAAGACAAATAGACAAACACATTTAAACCATACACACATTCAGGAGTCTGGAGTCTGTATATGCTTTGTCTTGCGACATCCTTGAACATTTTCTGCACTCACCAATGGTGGGTGTTTTCTCAGGTCTCTTGTGTCCCCACCCCTCTGTCTGTGAACAGTGTTTACCGTAAAGGCCGAAAAAGCTGCTCCTCTAAGCTCCTTTAGCATCCAGTTTTGGTAAAATAACACAAACTGGTTTTGGAGAGGGCTGCACAGTGGCGCAGTGGTTAGCGCTGTTGCCTTGCAGCAAGAACGTCCTGGGTTAGCACCCTGGCCTGCGGTCTTTCTGCAAGGAGATTGCATGTTCTCCCTGTGTATGCATGGGTTCTCTCCAGGTATCAGAATCAGAATGTTTTTTTGCCATATGTGTGAGAATCAAAACACTGGGAAATTGCTGCGGTAAAAAGGGAGATAAAAATAAGAGATAAGAAAATATAGGGAGTAACAACATAATCATGATAGAAAAAATAATAATATAAAGTGGCAATAGAGAAATGGCTGCTATATACAAGGCAGTGTAGGTACTAATCAGAGCGGATCAGTTCAGGTACAAACACAACACAGGGTCATGTGACTGGAACCAAGAGACTGGAGTGGGCAGACCTACTGTCATTCATGAGTCCAACAGCAGAGGGGAAGAAACTGCTCTTGTGGTGAGAGGTTCTCATCCGAATGGATCTGAGCCTCCTACCAGATGGGAGCAAATCAAAAAGGCTGTGTCCAGGGTGACACGGGTGAGCTGTTATCTGACCTGCATGCCTCAATGTCCTAGAGGTGTACAGGTTCTGTATGGAAGGGAGTTTGCAGCCACAGCGTACGACACGCTGCAGCCTCTTTATGTCCCTGGTGGTAGCTCCAGCATACCACACGAGGATTGAAGAGGTGAGGATGGACTCGATGATCGCGGTGTAGAACTGCCTCATCGACTGTGCTGGCAGGTTGAATTTCTTCAGCTGTCTCAGGAAGTACATCCTCTGCTGGGCCTTTTTTATGACGGAGATGATTGTGGACTCCCACTTGACATCTCGAGTGATGGTGGTGCCCAGGAAGCGACATGAGTCCACCATTGTTATGGGAGTGTCAGACAGGGTTATGGGGGGAGGGGGGCTGTGTGCTTCCTAAAGTCTACAACAACCTTCACTGTCTTCTGGGTGTTTAGCACCAGGTTGTTGTGGCTGCACCAGGACACTAGCCATTCCACCTCCATTCTGTAGACTCATCTCAGTCAGACAGGAGTCTGATGACGGTTGTGTCGTCTACAGACTTGATAAGCTTGGCAGACTCGCTGTTGGAGGTGCAGCCATTGGTGTACAGGGAAAAGAGCAGAGGGGAGAGAGCACAAGCCTGAGGGGAACCAGTGGTGATGGTCTGCAGGTTAGGGGGATTCTTCCCCAGCCTGACTTGTTGCTTCCTGTCCGTCAGGAAGTCAGTTTGATAATAACGACCAACAGGTACTCTGGCTTCCTCCCACAGTCCAAAAACATGTCAGGTTAATTGGTCTGTCTAAATTGTCCTTAGGTGTGAGTGTGTGTGCACCCCCCCCCCCCCCCCCCCCCCCCCCCCCACACACACACACACACACACAACCCTGCATGGACAAGCGGGTTCAGATAATGGATGGTTTTGGAGAAGTCTTTATTTGGGTCTGGGTCTGGGCTTTGGACAGCCTTTTGACCTTTGCTTCAAAATATGACTCCTGTGGTAATAATGTAGAAGCTCTCAGGTCAGATCTGATCCTGTTGATAGGGGCTGAACATTAAAAACCTGTATTTTAGGTTAGCTGGAGACCCTCTTTAGGTGTTAGTGAGTGTATGACTGTTGCCTCCGTGTGTCCCTGTGATGGACTGAGGACATGTCCATGGTGTCCCATCTCTTGCCAGATGTCAGCTGGAGTTAGACACCAGTTCCCTATGATCCTATTGCAGAATAAGAAATGCCTCAAATCAGTGGATAGATAGATAGATAAAAACAGTTGAATGCAATTTTTTGACTTTAATTTTTATGTTGAAAAGAAATGTCACATTTGACAGCCTGTTAATTTGTTTCCATGGGGAGCAGACTGGATTATCATCCAGTCAGATTTAGTTACTTTTAGCTTGGAAGTGAGATTTATTCATCTTTACCAGATTTAGGAAATGACATAATAATTCATATAAATATAATTAAAAACAATTGTAATTTATAATTACTAATAATAAAGAATACAATGTAAAGATGAATCTAAAATTAAGATTGTGATCATTTACAACTAAACATTTAACTTGCAAATATAGATTACCTTAATTGGTGTGTGTGTGTGTGTGGGGGGGGGGGGGGGGATTTCATTTGTAGCATCTAGGAGATCCTTTGATGCTATGTCTGCATCCGTCCATTAAACATGCATTGTTTAACTGTGTTCATGTGGGTTCTCCCTGCTCATTAATAATTCATCCATGTTTAAACAGATTCACATGATCTCATCATCAAAGGATCTCAGATTCTGGCAATCCCAATTTGCATGTCAGCTAAATAAGAAGTTCAAAACCACCTAACTTTAATTCTACATATTTAGAACAGACTATAAATATTTTTATCTAACAATAACATTTGAATTTTGGTAAACATTTCGTAACAATTTATACACATTTATACTTAAAAGTTGGTATGAAACTATATTCTGAACGGCTTTAACTGAGATCAAATTCTCAGCTGATGAGGCAAAAGAACATTCTCCTCCGTCATTTACCTGGTTTACTGTGCATCTGAAGGAGGAACTGCTATCCATAGATCTAAAACAATCAGTTTTCTCCAGAAGTTACATAAAAGTCTTCAAGTTCAGAGTCCAGTTCACTTTATTAAATCAGATAATGGTCACACACAGTCACAGAAGGAGAAGAAAAGCAAGTGAAGTTATCATCAGGGTCAGTTCTAATGCAAAAACAAGACATATTGTTGTTTAATAGTCTCGCCTTCAGCGCATTGCTCCTTAGCTCCATCCACCTACTCACTTGTCTAAATACAGCAGACAGTCGTTTGGTTTGATACCACTGATCTTGATGAATGGCACTCACTGTTACTGGTCATTTATCACATTTTATTTACCATAGATTATAATGTAACATCTTGTAAAAAGCACACGTGTAGCTATATGAGTGTACAATCAGATTATCGGTTTAATGATGGATATGAAATCAAAAAGCTTTAACCACACGAGTGATTCCAGTGAGTGATGAAAGGGAAATACCTACCATCGCAGTGCAACTTCTTCGTTTATATGTCTCGTGTTTATTTCTGGCTCGGTTAAGCTAATCCAAATGTGATCAACATCCAACATCGTAAGTCACCATAAAAATCATAGTTAGTGCCAGCAGTTTGTGGTGGCTGCACAAGTTGGCATTTACTGTCTGCTATATTCTGACTTGTTTCTCCAGGTTTTTAGGTCATTTCATCTGAGTGGCTTATTTGTCTAAATGAAGAATGCAGTCAGACACACACACACACACACACACACACACACACACACACACACACACACACACACACACACACACACACACAAGCACACAGAGACAGAGACCTCTAGTTACAAAGAGCAGCAGGAGACCGTTAGCATGGTCACCGTCGGTTGCTGTGCTGCTCAGCCTCTTATCACATTGTTTCCCTGCTCTGTTTGTGGCATTAATCATTTGATTGCTTTACCTGTGCAGGAGATTATGAGAAGGTAAGGAAATGTGTTTAATGAGATTTTTAAAAAATCATTAAATTATTATCTTTAATACGCTTCAAGAGGAAAGCAGATTTGTGGAAAGTCAAGCTGCTTTTCGACCTCCTTTGCTAATTGAGGACATTTAGGGTTGTGCAGGTCAAATACTCACTAATCAATACTGCTGCACCCTTTATTTACACTGAAAAAATAGCTTAATCTTTAATACTCTGCATCCAGGATGTTCTGCAGTAGATTAACTGTCTCCTTTGCTTCTTCACCAGTCCCAGTTTCCTCCCACACAACCTTTTATTTCCTTTGAACAGTTCAGTGATTCTGTGCAGCAGAAAAACAGGAGTTTGGAGATAGAGCCTCATGGTGTACACAGCTCACTGGTGGTGGGAGTGAGTCTGGGGGCAAGGCAGCACAGGCTCAGAGGGGAGGGCAGCCATTAGGCAAGGGTGGTACAAGGCTGGCCCCGAACCTCCCGGTGCCCGGGTGGAGGGCTCCATGCCCACGTTGTGATGCAGTGACAGGTAAGCATGGCAGTAATCCAGATCTGACTGCTCACACCTGTACAGAGTCAGGGGATCCAGGTGCCGCGGTATCTAGGCAGAACAGAAAGCAGAAAATAGAGAAAAAAAGCAAAAGAGTCACATATACAGCTTTAAAACAGCCAGAACAGCCTCCATGCCAACATTTGTCAGCTCTCAGAATATTAAGAATTGGCTTAATTTACATCATGCTGTCAAGGCAGAGCTCTGTCATTAATGGAGACTTGGCCAGTGAAACCGCATCGCGCCCCAGAACCTGAAATCTGTGCCGCTCAAACACCCACTTTGAGCTGGAGTGATTTATATGCAAGATGAAAGCCTTAAGCAAGAGTGCACACATATTTCTGCCCTCTTTTAAATGGAGTCAAGGCTCCATTTAGAAGAGAGTGCTTATTACATTACAAGCACTTCGCTGATTCAAAGACCCGTGTTCATTTTATGTGCCAGTGTGGTCCGAATGATGTCAATTAAACACAATACAGATGCTTCATAGCCCATGCAATAATGGTATTAATATACATAGTTACATCCATGCTTTCACACAAAAACACGAGTGAATTCTGATGCTAAGATATTTGCATACAAAATAACAAAACATGAGCAGCACTTGGATGTGTAAAAGGCAACTTCTGGATTTTCTTTAGTGTTTTATCATTTGTTTTCTACTTCTGTTAATCCAGCACACATCAAATTTTCATCATGTATATTAATCTTTCCTTCAGAAGGATGACAATATACTGGAAGTACCTGAGGGACATCCATTGTAAAGTACTATTTGTTGTAGTGATTATTTGTATGGAATCACAAAGACCTTTACATAAAGCTGATTTGATGCAGAAATGGCTTACTCTTCATCTGATTGGTCAGGATTTATAACCACTGCTCTGACTCACGTTTAAAGCCCCTCTTGAATTTGATGTTACTCTTTTTTAGGAACAATGTGACTGAATTAATTCCCCTAAGTTAGTTCAAAACACGACTGTCTAATTCAGCAGCGGATCTTTGTACGCTTCTTCAGAAGCTGCATGGTGGCGCAGTGGTTAGCACTGTTGCCTCGCAGCACGAAGGTTGCAGATTCGAAACTCGGCTGCGGCCTTTCTGAGTGGAGTTGCGTGTTCTCCTCGTGCGTGCGTGGGTTTCCTCCGGGTACTCCGGTTTCCCCCACAGATCACAACATGCCCTATAGGTTATAAATTGTAAGTCGCTTTGGATAAAAGCGTCTGCCAAATAAATAAACATTAAAAGTTCATGAAAATTCATGAACAACAATCCTCTGAGTGCACAGGCATCAAGGTGTGTGTGTGTATGTGTGTGTGTGTGTGTGTGTGTGTGTGTGTGTGTGTGTGTGTGTGTGTGTGTGTGTGTGTGTGTGTGTGTGTGTGTGTGTGTGTGTGTGTGTGTGTGTGTGAGGGGGCGTACAGATTGTCAGGAGGGCTACAGTGTAGGCTTGCCTCCCCATCTATGCTACAGCACAAGTCAAACATGTAAGGAGTAACGTTGATTTAAATGAAGGCAAATGAACCAACGGCCCTCTTTCTGTCTGTGCAGCAGTTGTTGGCAGAGCATTAACAGCCTCTGCCTTCTCAACAGTTTCCCCCGCCTCCTCCGTTTAACATTTCCATTTAATCCTATACTGAAATCCAAATGGTGAACCACAAAATAAACAGAGTTGTTTAGACCATAAACAGCTTTGTTTGCTCATCACTGCTAAACGGACCACCGTAGATCAGTTAACGCTGTAAGTCTTCTCATAATAAACAACAAGATTAATAAAAATGTTGTTATAAACTGTAAAATATTTCAATAACAAGTTTTAGCCCCCCCCCCCTTTTAAAGTATCTGAAAAAAGTGTCTTATCTTATTTTATTACATACGCAGGAAGATCCTAAATCACAAAGAAATGAATCATGCTTTTACAAAAAAATAATAGTTAAAAAAAAGTTCTATTGTGTTGAGAACCTTTGATCTTTGGGAACGACCATGCAGAACATCAGAAAAGTCCATCAGAACGGCAGCAGTGACCAATCCCGCCAAGCTTCATTCTGTATTCCATTCTTGTTTGTCCTTTGTAAGTCTGACAGCCAAAACAATACAACTGAATTTTTGTGATGGTTTTGGGTGCTGGTGTGCCACCCCATAATTACCTGTGATCTGTGAGGTGCATGCGACTTTTAAAGTGGCTGTGTTGGTGTCATGAAATCAAAGAACATGACCAATAAAAATATGCTAACCAGCAAATGGTAAATGGTCTGCCTTCCAAGGCGCTTCACAACACAGTCATCCAAACATTCACACGCTGGTGGGGAGGAGCTACGATGTAGCCACAGCTGCCCTGGGGCGCACTGACAGAGGCAAGGCCTGCCGAACACTGGAGTCACTGGTCCCTCCGACCACTACGAGTAAGCACGGTGGGTTAAGTGTCTTGTCCAAGGACACAACGGCAGAATTCTCTGGCGGGAGCCGGGATCAAACCTCCAACCTTCCGATCGACGGACAACCCGCTCTACCTCTGGAGTTACTGCTGTCCAGCAAGAGATACCTAGAAAGGTGATGTTGTGATGTTATTTTCCTACTGCTACACAACTTTATCCACCACAGAAACAAATGCCAGATACACCAAAGTGAGACAAGGGCTGCTATATCAGGAACTTTCAACATTTCCTTGGGTTTGTGCTGTTATCAGAACCATAACGAGATGAGGAGGAACGTCCGTCTGTTCAAGAATAATCACTGTCTCACAACCTTCACCTATTTTCATTGCCGCCTCCTCAGACTCGTTAGCCAGTTTCTACTTTTTCAGCACCTCGGCTCAACTGTCTCCCATGCAGCTGACATAAAGTGCACACTCAGCCATGCAGTTCACGAAGTTGGAATTACATTTTCTACTCACTCTTACCATGAAATAAACTTTAATTTCTATTTCATTGGGTGTTTGATTTCAAGTAAGGCTTACCACCTTTTTTTATTGGCAGCTGTGGGAGATTATCTGCAGCTTTTGTTGTAAAGAAGAACTACAAGAGAAACAGTGATTTGACGTGCTCCGGATCAGGCCCGTAAAGCCTCTTTTCATAAATCGTTGTGAGAATTTGTTGAAATGGATGTATATTTTTTTCTTTTGTCAAAAGAGTTAAAAAACCATTTTAAAATCATCATCACACTGAAAAACTGTCAGCAAAGAAGTGAGATGTGACAGCAAGAGGTGGAAACTTGGATTTGACACTTACACAATGAGCCGTTTTAATGACCTTTACTGAACATCTTTTGCTCTTTTGTATATTTTGGCAGCCCAACTCAGCACTGACACATCCAGTCTGTCACTTTGAGCAGCAATAGGGATTAAGTCAGTAAATGGAATACAATCAGGAAGTCCAGTCTGTGTAAAGCCTGTGATTCTGGGGCCTTATCAGGCACTAAAACACTGCCCACTCATTAGTGCTCACGTAATCTATGTGGAACGTATTTGAATGATTGCTCACTGCGGTGCTTTGCAGAAAGGTATGTCACTGCAATTGCAGGACCACACATAATGAGCTGTATTTGACTTTTTCTCCCCATCTTTATTAGCATGCAGTCATGCCTTTCATTCAGTTTGGCCTGACTGAGTGAAAAAGCAGTTTCCTCCTGAGTTGTGACATTGGATGGGAATACGATGAGGTGGATTCGGTAAACACAGAGACGCAGCAACATCTGCCTGGCTGTGAGCTTCTGTTTCACAAGGGTTGTTACAAGAAAACAGGTCACAGTTCGTCCAGATTAAACTTTCACTGCGCTGAGGTTACTAAGCTGTCACTAAGCCTTGTTCAGCACACCAACTAACCACAAGCCTGCAAAAATAATGGCTCTCAGAACTATTAGAGCTGTTCTTTGGTCCCCTCAGTGCACAATGTCTTGATTTGGTCTCACCGATCCTTTTAGCACAAACTTTGCATGACATCAAAAACATGTCCTTAACTCAGTGGCCAATTTCTGTGTAATGTTGTCCTAATGTTTTTCTCCATATGTTGTGTTTTGTGCTGCAAGAGTGTGTAGTGCCACCTTTAAGGGCTATCTGGCGCTTTTACAGCCAACACCTGCATCCGCATTCAGAGTGGGTTGGACTCCACCAGGGCCTTTTGTCTCCTCTGTTTTTGGTGTTTATGAGCAGAATCCCAAAGTGCAGTCATACAGAGGAGAGTGTTCAGTCTGGGACTTCAGGGTCTCCTCTCTGCACTTTGCAGATGATGTTTTCTTGCATCGTCAAGCCACATACTTCTGGGTGAAGAAGCTGTGGAGCAAGGCAATGGTTTCCTCAAATGGAAAACATATAATTGTACTTTACTGTTTGCAAGTAGGGTGGCGTTCTGCCAATGTCTGTGAGAGTAGTGTGTGTGTGTGTGTTTGTGTGTGTGTGAATTGTCGTTTTTTAATGGGGTGGGCCAGGGAGCTAGCTCCCGCACCTTGAGAGTAAACATCACGGCTCAAAAGCTGATCTTCACCTGTGTGCGACATGTTACGTGGTAAGGAAGCAGAAATCCAGGAGATCGTTTTGGGACACCGCTACAAAAGGCACAAACCGGAAGAACTGGTTTGTGAACCGGAAAATGCTAGAAACTCGCCGATTCTTCCTGATGTAAGAAGTGAGTCTACTCTTTATTTTGGTAGTTTTGGTGTTTACGTGATCATAGACCGCAATGTTCTGACTCTTCAAAAATAAGTTAAAATGCTCAAAAACGCTGGCAGTCAGAGGATTTCTGACCAGAAAAAGGCAGGCAGTGGATGAGTTAACAGCAGTTAACAATGAAAGGTGTTTGTGTGTAATGAGGAAACCCTTTCACGTTTGTTTTTAGTGGAAAAAATGTTGTTTTAGTGGCACACATTTTATTATAGATTATTTTCATGTTCATTTGGTGGTAAAACAATGTTTTTTCTTCAAGTAAAACTTTTTTTCTACAGTAAAATATTGACTTCAATACAGTTTTTACCTGTAAAAACAACAATAAAAATACCTTGTTTCCATAAAAGAACAAAACATTTCCTGTAATTTTACAGTACTGTTATGGAAACCCCAGCTGCCG